GCCAATACGTTTGCCACTGCTGATCCAAATGTATCGTGGCAGTGCGCGGCGAAGCGCACAGAAGGTGCATGACGCGTACACTCGTTCAGCACATTCAGCATCTGACCTGGTGTCCCTGCACCAGTAGTGTCGCCAAGGCTGATCTCGTAACATCCCATCTCCAGCAGCGTCTTTGCGATTTTTCCGACGTCTGCAGGATTGACCCTTCCCGAGTACGGACAGTCGGCGACAACACTGATGTATCCCCTCACCCGAACCCCATGCTCTAGCGCTTTGCTGGTCACCTTGGACAACCTCTCCAAGGATTCATGGATGGTACAATTCGTATTGGCTTTGGTGAAGGCGTCGGTCGCAGCTGTGAAGATGGCAATCTCGTCTGAGCGTCCGGCTGCTCGACCTTTTGGCCCCACCATGTCCAGGAAGTTGACCAAGCCCTTGTCATTGGGCACCAAGAAGGGATAAGAGACGCCTTGCTTGACCGTCATTTGCTCTAGCACAGCTGCAGAATCTGCCATCTGAGTGGCCCCTCTGTGTAAGCGCTATGGCTCTCACTCCTCATGCGCGCACCCTTCTTGCTGCGTATTCACCTGGGGAACCCACTTGGGACTGACGAAAGAGCCCGCTTCCACAGTCTCGACGCCCGCCTCCTCTACCAGCCTTCGAATCAGCTCAAGCTTGGTGGTCAGCGGGACGACTTGTTTCTCGTTTTGCAGTCCATCTCGAGGAGATACTTCTACGATCCGCACGTGATGAGGGCTATTCTTTCCGAGGCCTGGACTGTGCGCGGTGCTGGCCAGGGCTCGAGAAGTAGCGCACGGCAGCAGGCTGTGAGCATCTGCTCTCGGGCGTGCCATGCTCAGGGCTCGAGTGACGCTTCTTGACATCATCTGGAGTGTGATTTGTTCGGCGTGATGGATTTGCTGGGACACTTCTTGGGCGAACGCAAGGCAAAGACATTCGAATCGAACCTGTGTCCCGATGTATCGGACATTCACGATTGCTTAGGTGCGGAACCGCTTCGACCGTCACAGCCACCACTTGGGATGTAGCTCGGATGTGTGGAGTGGAAGGCAGGCGCGGCCGCGAGGACGCGGCGTGCTAGCTGAGAGGAACCCCGCACGGGAAGCCGAATTTGCCGTGATTCCAATTCCAATTCTCGCGCGAGTGAGCCCCGCGCAAAGGCATAAACG